TCCCTATGGGTCTCTATGGGTCTCTATGGGGTCTCTATGGGTCTCTATGGGTCTCTATGGGGTCTCTATGGGTCTCTATGGGTCCCTATGGGTCTCTATGGGTCCCTCTGGGTCTCTATGGGCTCTCTATGGGTCTCAATGGGGTGTCTATGGGGTGTCTATGGGTCTCTATGGGTCCCTATGGGTCTCTATGGGGTCTCTATGGGGTCTCTGTGGGTCTCTATGGGGTCTCTATGGGTCTCTATGGGGCCTCTGTGGGTCTCTATGGGGTCTCTGTGGGTCTCTATGGGTCCTTATAGGCCTGTATGGGCTCTCTATGGGTCTCAGTGGGGTGTCTATGGGTCCCTATGGGTCTGTATGGGGTCTCTGTGTGTCCCTATGGGTCCCTATGTGTCTCTATGGGTCCCTGTCTGTCTCTATGGGGTCTCTATGGGTCCCTATGGGTCTCTATGGGGTGTCTATGGGTCTCTATGGGTCTCTATGTGTCCCTATGTGTCCCTATGTGTCTCTATGGGTCTCTATGGGGTCTCTATGGGTCTCTATGGGTCTCTATGGGGTGTCTATGGGGTCTCTATGTCTCCCTATGTGTCTCTATGGGTCTCTATGGGTCTCTATGTGTCTCTATGGGTCCCTATGGGTCTCTATGGGGTGTCTATGGGTCTCTATGGGTCTCTATGGGGTCCCTATGTGTCCCTGTGTGTCTCTATGTGTCCCTATGTGTCTCTATGTGTCTCTATGGGTCTCTATGGGTCTCTATGGGTCTCTATGGGTCTCTATGGGTCTCTATGGGGTCTCTATGGGTCTCTATGGGTCTCTATGGGGTCTCTATGGGTCTCTATGTGTCTCTATGGGTCTCTATGGGTCTCTATGTGTCTCTATGGGTCCCTATGGGTCTCTATGGGGTCTCTATGGGTCTCTATGGGTCTCTATGTGTCTCTATGGGTCCCTATGGGTCTCTATGGGGTCTCTATGGGTCTCTATGGGTCTCTATGGGTCTCTATGGGTCTCTATGGGTCTCTATGTGTCTCTATGGGTCTCTATGGGTCTCTATGTGTCTCTATGGGTCCCTATGGGTCTCTATGTGTCTCTATGGGTCTCTATGTGTCTCTATGGGTCTCTATGTGTCTCTATGGGTCTCTATGTGTCTCTATGGGTCTCTATGTGTCTCTATGGGTCTCTATGGGTCTCTATGGGGTCCCTATGTGTCCCTATGTGTCTCTATGTGTCCCTATGTGTCTCTATGTGTCTCTATGGGTCTCTATGGGTCTCTATGGGTCTCTATGTGTCTCTATGGGTCTCTATGGGTCTCTATGGGGTCTCTATGGGTCTCTATGGGTCTCTATGTGTCTCTATGGGTCCCTATGGGTCTCTATGGGTCTCTATGGGTCTCTATGGGTCTCTATGGGTCTCTATGGGTCTCTATGTGTCTCTATGTGTCTCTATGGGTCCCTATGGGTCTCTATGGGGTCTCTATGTGTCTCTATGGGTCTCTATGTGTCTCTATGGGTCTCTATGGGTCTCTATGGGGTCCCTATGTGTCCCTATGTGTCTCTATGTGTCCCTATGTGTCTCTATGTGTCTCTATGGGTCTCTATGGGTCTCTATGGGTCTCTATGTGTCTCTATGGGTCTCTATGGGTCTCTATGGGGTCTCTATGGGTCTCTATGGGTCTCTATGTGTCTCTATGGGTCCCTATGTGTCTCTATGGGTCTCTATGGGTCTCTATGTGTCTCTATGTGTCTCTATGGGTCCCTATGGGTCTCTATGGGGTCTCTATGGGTCTCTATGGGTCTCTATGTGTCTCTATGGGTCTCTATGTGTCTCTATGGGTCTCTATGGGTCTCTATGGGTCTCTATGTGTCTCTATGTGTCTCTATGGGTCTCTATGGGGCAGGCTGGAGTCGGAGCTGACGTTCGTTGCGAGCTGCCTGGGGGTGAACCCCAAATCCTATGGGGCCTGGCACCACCGGGCCTGGGTCCTCCGCTGGGTCCTAGCGCCCGCCGGTCCCATTGAATCCAATGGGGAGCTCCGCTGGGTCCCTGCGCCCGCCGGTCCCATTGAAGGCAATGGGGAGCTCCGCTGGGTCCCTGCGCCCGCCGGTCCCATTGAATCCAATGGGGAGCTCCGCTGGGTCCCTGCGCCCGCCGGTCCCATTGAATCCAATGGGAAGCTCCGCTGGGTCCCTGCGCCCGCCGGTCCCATTGAATCCAATGGGAAGCTCCGCTGGGTCCCTGCGCCCGCCGGTCCCATTGAATCCAATGGGGAGCTCCGCTGGGTCCCTGCGCCCGCCGGTCTCGATGCTGTTGCTGTAGCCGAGGGGGAGCGGCGCCTCTGCGAGCGCCTCCTGGAGGCCGATCCGAGGAACTGTGAGCTATGGGGGGCTATGGGGTGGGAATGGGGTCCTATGGGGTGCAATGGGGTGGGAATGGGGTTCTATGGGGTGCTATGGGGTGGGAATGGGGTCCTATGGGGTGGGAATGGGGTTCTATGGGGTGGGAATGGGAGGCAATGGGGTGGGAATGGGGTCCTATGGGGTGCAATGGGGTGGGAATGGGGTTCTATGGGGTGGGAATGGGGTGGGAATGGGGTTCTATGGGGTGGGAATGGGGTTCTATGGGGTGGGAATGGGGTGCAATGGGGTGGGAATGGGGTTCTATGGGGTGCAATGGGGTGGGAATGGGGTTCTATGGGGTGGGAATGGGGTTCTATGGGGTGCAATGGGGTGCAATGGGGTGGGAATGGGAGGCAATGGGGTGGGAATGGGGGTTCTATGGGGTAGGAATGGGGTTCTATGGGGTGGGAATGGGAGGCAATGGGGTCCTATGGGGTGCAATGGGGTGCAATGGGGTGGGTATGGGGTTCTATGGGGTGGGAATGGGGTTCTATGGGGTGAGAATGGGGTGCAATGGGGTGGGAATGGGAGTCTATGGGGTGGGAATGGAGGCAATGGGGTGGGAATGGGGTTCAATGGGGTGGGAATGGGGTGGGAATGGGGTTCTATGGGGTGGGAATGGGGTTCTATGGGGTGAGAATGGGGTGCAATGGGGTGGGAATAGGGTTCTATGGGGTGCAATGGCCGGCTATGGGGTGGGAATGGGATGGGAATGGGGTCCTATGGGGTGGGAATGGGGTTCTATGGGGTGGGAATGGGGTCCTATGGGGTGCAATGGGGTGCAATAGGGTGGGAACGGGGTTCTATGGGGTGCTATGGGGTGGGAATGGGGTCCTATGGGGTGGGAATGGGGTTCTATGGGGTGGGAATGGGGTGCAATGGGGTGGGAATGGGGTTCTATGGGGTGGGAATGGGGTGCAATGGGGTGGGAATGGGGTTCTATGGGGTGGGAATTGGGTTCAATGGGGTGGGAATGGGGTTCTATGGGGTGCAATGGGGTGGGAATGGGGTTCTATGGGGTGTAATGGGGTGCAATGGGGTGGGAATGGGGTTCTATGGGGTGGGAATGGGAGGCAATGGGGTGGGAATGGGGTTCTCTGGGGTGAGAATGGGGTGCAATGGGGTGGGAATGGGGTTCTATGGGGTGGGAATGGGAGGCAATGGGGTGGGAATGGGGTTCTATGGGGTGAGAATGGGGTCCTATGGGGTGGGAATGGGGTGCAATGGGGTGGGGAATGGGGTTCTATGGGGTGAGAATGGGGTGCAATGGGGTGGGAATGGGGTGCAATGGGGTGGGAATGGGGTCCTATGGGGTGGGAATGGGGTCCTATGGGGTGAGAATGGGGTGCAAGGGGGTGGGAATGGGGTTCTATGGGGTGAGAATGGGGTTCTATGGGGCGGGAATGGGGTGCAATGGGGTGGGAATAGGGTTCTATGATGTGCAATGGCCGGCTATGGGGTGGGAATGGGATGGGAATGGGGTCCTATGGGGTGGGAATGGGGTTCTATGGGGTGGGAATGGGGGCAATGGGGTGGGAATGGGAGGCAATGGGGTGGGAATGGGGTCCTATGGGGTGGGAATGGGGTGCAATGGGGTGGGAATGGGGTTCTATGGGGTGGGATTGGGGTTCTATGGGGTGGAATGGGGTTCTATGGGGTGGGAATAGGGTTCTATGGGGTGCAATGGCCGGCTATGGGGTGGGAATTGGGTCCTATGGGGTGGGAATGGGATGGGAATGGGGTTCTATGGGGTGAGAATGGGAGGCAATGGGGTGGGAATGGGGCTCTATGGGGTGGGAATGGGGTTCTATGGGGTGGGAATGGGGTGCAATGGGGTGGGAATGGGGTGCAATGGGGTGGGAATGGGGTGGGAATGGGGTTCTATGGGGTGGAATGGGGTGGGAATGGGGTTCTATGGGGTGGGAATGGGGTTCTATGGGGTGGGAATGGGGTGCAATGGTTTGGGAATGGGGTTCTATGGGGTGGGAATGGGGTGCAATGGGGTGGGAATGGGGTCCTATGGCGTGGGAATGGGGTTCTATGGGGTGGGAATGGGGTTCTATGGGGTGGGAATGGGGTTCTATGGGGTGCTATGGGGTGCAATGGGGTGGATTGGGATGCACTGGGATGCACTGGGCTCCATTGGTTCCATGGGGCTCCATTGACCCCATTGCCCCCCATTGACCCCCATTGCCCCCATTGATCCCCATTGCCCCCCATTGACCCCCATTGACCCCCATTGATTCAATTGACCCCCATTGCCCCCCATTGCCCCCCATTGATTCCATTGACCCCCATTGACCCCCATTGCCCCCCATTGCACCCTATTGACCCCATTGCACCCCATTGGCCCCCATTGATTCCATTGCCCCCCATTGCACCCCATTGACCCCCCATTGACCCCCATTGGCCCCCATTGCCTCCCATTGACCCCCATTGCCTCCCATTGACCCCCATTGACTCCCATTGCTCCCCATTGCTTCCATTGACCCCCATTGACCCCCATTGACCCCCATTGCCCCCCATTGCTCCCCCCATGCAGTCCACGCCTGGGAGCACCGTCGGGGGCTGCCCCACGGCGCTCTGGGCCCCGAGCTGGAGTTCAGCGAGCGCCTCCTGCGCCGCGACTTCTCCAACTTCTCGGCCTGGCACCAACGCCTGCGGCTCCTGCGCGGCGCCGGCGGCATCGACCCGGAGCGTCTGCACCGCGGTGGGCACCCATTGGCACCCCTTGGCACCCATTGACACCCATTGAGTGCCATTGACTTCCATTGATACCCATTGACTTCCATTGGCACCCATTGACTCCCATTGAGTGCCGTTGGCACCCATTGACTCCCATTGACTGCCATTGACACCCATTGACTCCCATTGACTGCCATTGACACCCATTGACTGCCGTTGGCACCCATTGGCACCCATTGACTTCCATTGGCACCCATTGACTGCCGTTGGCACCCATTGGCACCCATTGACTTCCATTGGCACCCATTGACTCCCATTGAGTGCCGTTGACACCCATTTGCACCCATTGACTGCCGTTGAGCCCATTGAGTGCCATTGATTTCCATTGATATCCATTGAGTGCCATTGACTTCCATTGATACCCATTGACTGCCATTGGCACCCATTAACGCCCATTGAGTGCCGTTGACACCCATTGACTGCCATTGACACCCATTGACTGCCATTGGCACCCATTGACTGCCATTGACACCCATTGAGTGCCATTGACACCCATTGACTTCCATTGGCACCCATTGACTCCCATTGACACCCATTGACTCCCATTGACACCCATTGACTGCCATTGACACCCATTGACTGCCATTGGCACCCATTGACTGCCATTGACACCCATTGAGTGCCATTGACGCCCATTGACTTCCATTGGCACCCATTGACTCCCATTGACTTCCATTGACACCCATTTGACTGCCATTGACACCCATTGACTGCCATTGACACCCATTGACTGCCGTTGGCACCCATTGACTCCCATTGAGTGCCGTTGGCACCCATTGACTGCCATTGACTTCCATTGACTTCCATTGGCACCCATTGACTCCCATTGACTTCCATTGACACCCATTGACTTCCATTGACACCCATTGACACCCATTGACTGCCATTGACACCCATTGACTGCCGTTGGCACCCATTGGCACCCATTGACTTCCATTGGCACCCATTGACTCCCATTGAGTGCCGTTGGCACCAATTGACTGCCATTGACTTCCATTGACACCCATTGACTGCCATTGACACCCATTGAGTGCCATTGACTTCCATTGATACCCATTGACTCCCATTGACACCCATTGGCACCCATTGGCTCCCATTGACACCCATTGAGTGCCATTGACTTCCATTGATACCCATTGACTGCCATTGGCACCCATTGACTCCCATTGAGTGCCGTTGGCACCCATTGACTCCCATTGACTGCCATTGACACCCATTGACTCCCATTGACTGCCATTGACACCCATTGACTGCCGTTGGCACCCATTGGCACCCACTGACTCCCATTGGCACCCATTGACTCCCATTGAGTGCCGTTGACACCCATTTGCACCCATTGACTGCCGTTGACGCCCATTGAGTGCCGTTGACTTCCATTGATATCCATTGAGTGCCATTGACTTCCATTGATACCCATTGACTGCCATTGGCACCCATTGACGCCCATTGAGTGCCATTGACTGCTGTTGACTCCCATTGACACCCATTGACGTCCATTGACTCCCATTATCACCCATTGAGTGCTGTTGACACCCATTGACTGCCATTGGCACCCATTGACTGCCATTGACACCCATTGACATCCATTGACTTCCATTGGCACCCATTGGCACCGATTGACTGCCATTGACACTCATTGACGCCCATTGACACCCATTGAGTGCCGTTGACGCCCGTTGACACCCATTGATTGCCATTGGCACCCATTGACTGCCATTGGCACCCGTTGACATCCATTGACTTCCATTGGTACCCATCAGCACCCATTGACTGCCGTTGACACCCATTGACTCCCATTGGCACCCATTGACACCCATTGACTGCCATTGGCACCCATTGAGTGCCATTGATTCCCATTGGCACCCATTGACATTTCCCCCCTTTTTCCCCCTTTTTTCCCCATTTCCCCCTATTTTCCCCCTATTTCCCCCCTTTTCCCCATTTCCCCCCTTTTTCCCCCTTTCCTCCCATTTTTTGACCCATTTCCCCCATTTTTTCCTATTTTCCCTATTTTCCCCCCTTTCCCCCACTTTTTCCCCATTTCCCCCACTATTTCCCCCCTTTTTCCCCCATTTCTCCCCTATTTCCCCAATATTTTTCCCCATTTCCCCATTTTTCCTCATTTCCACATTTTTGCCCCATTTCCCCCCATTTTTGCCCCCTTTCCCCCCATTTTTCCCCCCATTTCCCCATTTTTGCCCTATTTTTCCCCATTTCCCCCATTTTTTGACCCATTTCCCCCATTTTTCCCCCATTTTTCCCCCATTCCCCCATTTTTCCCCCATTTCCCCCATTTTTTCCCAATATTTTTCCCCATTTCCCCCATTTTTGCCCCATTCCCCCATTTTTCCCCATTTCCCCCATTTTTTGACCCATTTTTTCTGATTTCCCCATTTTTTGCCCCATTTCCCCCATTTTTGACCCTTTTCCCCATTTCCCCCCCATTTTTCCTCATTTCCCTCCATTCTTCCCCCATTTCCGACCCATTTTTGATCCATTTTCCCCATTTTTTGCCCCATTTCCCCCATTTTTTCCCCGTTTTTCCCCATTTCCCCCATTTTCCCCCATTTTCCCCCATTTTTTCCCCATTTTTTCCCAATTTCCCCCATTTTTTCCCCATTTTTCCCATTTTTTCTTATTTCCCCAATTTTTCCCCATTTCTCCCAATTTTTGACCCGTTTTTTCTGATTTCCCCCCATTTTTCCCCCATTTTCCCCCATTTTTTCCCCATTTTCCCCATTTTTTCCCCATTTTTCCCCATTTTTTCCAATTTCCCCCATTTTTTCCCCATTTTTTCCCATTTTTCCCCAATTTTTTCCAATTTCCCCATTTTCCCCCCATTTTTCCCCATTTTCCCGATTTTTCCCCCCATTTTTTCCCCATTTTTTCCCCATTTTTCCCCAATTTTTTCCAATTTCCCCATTTTTCGCCCATTTTCCCCCATTTTTCCCCCATTTCCCCCATTTTTCCCCCATTTTTCCCCCATTTTTTCCCCATTTTTTCCCATTTTTCCCCTATTTTTTCCGATTTCCCCATTTTTCCCCCATTTTTCCCCATTTTTCGCCCATTTTCCCCCATTTTTCCCCCATTTCCCCCATTTTTCCCCCATTTTTCCCCCATTTTTTCCCCATTTTTTCCCATTTTTCCCCTATTTTTTCCGATTTCCCCATTTTTCCCCCATTTTTCCCCCATTTTTTCCCCATTTTCCCCCCATTTTCCCCCATTTCCCCCATTCCAGAGCTGGAGCTGGTCCGGAACGCCGCCTTCACCGACCCCCATGACCAGAGCGCCTGGATCTACCTGCGCTGTGCCCTGTCCCAGGGTGAGCCCGCCCCCAAAACCCCATTGGTCCAGCCCAGACCCACCCCAAACCCCATTGGTGCAGCCCAGACCCACCCCAAACCCCATTGGTCCAGCCCAGACCCACCCCAAACCCCATTGGTCCAGCCCAAACCCACCCCAAACCCCATTGGTCCAGCCCAAACCCACCCCAAACCCCATTGGTCCACCCCAAACTGCCATTAAACCCCATTGGGACCCCATTAACCCCCATTAGCACCCCATAGAACCCCATAGCCCCCCATTCCCACCCCATAGCACCCCTTTACCCCCGATTAAACCCCATTGGGGACCCCATTAAACCCCATTAGCACCCCCATTAAACCCCATTGGGACCCCATTATCACCCCATAGAACCCCATAGCCCCCCATTCCCACCCCATAGCACCCCTTTACCCCCGATTAAACCCCATTGGGACCCCATTAAACCCCATTGGGACCCCATTAAACCCCATAGAACCCCATTAAACCCCATTGGGACCCCATTATCACCCCATAGAACCAAACCCCCCATCCCACCCCACAGCCTTGCCCCCCCCCCGCCTCCTCTCCCTATACCTCATAGGGACGAGCCCACCTTGGCCATCACCTTCTCCAGCCCCATTGTGGTGAGTGGGGGGCCTCTGCCCCATAACCAACCCCCCCCCCCATTAAACCCCATAGGGACCCCATTAACCCCCATTAGCACCCCATAGAACCCCCATAGAACCCCATTAAACCCCATTGGGACCCCATTAAACCCCACTGGGACCCCATTAAACCCCATTGGGACCCCATTAAACCCCATTGGGAGCCCATTGAACCCCATTGGGACCCCATAGAACCCCCTTAGCACCCCATAGAACCCCATTGGGACCCCATTGAACCCCATTGGGACCCCATTAAACCCCATTGGGAGCCCATTGAACCCCATTGGGACCCCATAGAACCCCCTTAGCACCCCATAGAACCCCATTGGGACCCCATTAAACCCCATTGGGACCCCATAGAACCCCCTTAGCACCCCATAGAACCCCATTGGGACCCCATCAACCCCCATTAGCACCCCATAGAACCCCATAGAACCCCATTAAACCCCATTGGGACCCCATTAACCCCCATTAGCAACCCATAGAACCCCAATGGGACCCCATTGAACCCCATTGGGACCCCATTAACCCCCATTAGCACCCCATAGAACCCCCATAGAACCCCATTAAACCCCATTGGGACCCCATTAACCCCCATTAGCACCCCATAGAACCCCATTAAACCCCATTGGGACCCCATAGAACCCCATTGGGACCCCATTAAACCCCATTGGGACCCCATTAAACCCCATTGGGACCCCATCAACCCCCATTAGCACCCCATAGAACCCCATAGAACCCCATTAAACCCCATTGGGACCCCATTAACCCCCATTAGCACCCCATAGAACCCCATTGGGACCCCATTGAACCCCATTGGGACCCCATTAACCCCCATTAGCACCCCATAGAACCCCCATAGAACCCCATTAAACCCCACTGGGACCCCATTAAACCCCATTGGGACCCCATTAACCCCCATTAGCACCCCATAGAACCCCATAGAACCCCATTGGGACCCCATTAAACCCCATTGGGACCCCATTAAACCCTATTGGGACCCCATAGAACCCCCTTAGCACCCCATTAAACCCCATTGGGACCCCATTAAACCCCATTGGGACCCCATAGAACCCCCTTAGCACCCCATAGAACCCCATTGGGACCCCATTAAACCCCATTGGGACCCCATCGACCCCCATTAGCACCCCATAGAACCCCATTTGGACCCCATTAAACCCCATTGGGACCCCATAGAACCCCCTTAACACCCCATAGAACCCCATTGGGACCCCATTGGGACCCCATTAAACCCCATTCCCACCCCATAGAACCCCATTGGGACCCCATAGAACCCCATTCCCACCCCATAGAACCCCATTGGGACCCCATTAAACCCCATTGGGACCCCATAGAACCCCATTGGGACCCCATAAAACCCCATTCCCACCCCATAGCCCCCCATTCCCACTCCATAGAACCCCCTTGAGACCCCATTAAGCCCCATTCCCACCCCATAGAACCCCATTGGGACCCCATTAAACCCCATTGGGACCCCATAGAACCCCATTGGGACCCCATTAAACCCCATTGGGACCCCATTAAACCCTATTGGGACCCCATTAAACGCCATTCCCACCCCATAGAACCCCATTGGGACCCCATTAACCCCCATTCCCACCCCATAGAACCCCATTGGGACCCCATAGAACCCCATTGGGACCCCATAGAACCCCATTGGGACCCCATTAAACCCCATTGGGACCCCATAGAACCCCCTTAGCACCCCATAGAACCCCATTGGGACTCCATTAAACCCCATTCCCACCCCATAGAACCCCATTGGGACCCCATTAAACCCCATTCCCACCCCATAGAACCCCATTGGGACCCCATTAAACCCCATTGGGACCCCATTGAACCCCATTGGGACCCCATTAACCGCCATTGGGACCCCATTAAACCCCATTGGGACCCCATTAACCCCCATTAGCACCCCATAGAACCCCATAGAACCCCATTAAACCCCATTGGGACCCCATTAAACCCCATTCCCACCCCATAGAACCCCATTGGGACCCCATTAAACCCCATTGGGACCCCATTGAACCCCATTGGGACCCCATTAACCGCCATTGGGACCCCATTAAACCCCATTGGGACCCCATTCAACCCCATTCCCACCCCATAGAACCCTCTCAGCGCCCCATTAACCCCCATTAGCACCCCATAGAACCCCATAGAACCCCATTGGGACCCCATTAAACCCCATTGGGACCCCTTAGAACCCCATTCCCACCCCATAGAACCCCATTGGGACCCCATTAAACCCCATTGGGACCCCATAGAACCCCATTGGGACCCCATAGAATCCCCTTAACACCCCATAGAACCCCATTGGGACCCCATTAAACCCCATTGGGACCCCATAGAACCCCCTTAGCACCCTATAGAACCCCATTGGGACCCCATTAAACCCCATTGGGACCCCATAGAACCCCATTGGGACCCCATAAAACCCCATTCCCACCCCATAGCCCCCCATTCCCACTCCATAGAACCCCCTTGAGACCCCATTAAACCCCATTCCCACCCCATAGAACCCCATTGGGACCCCATTAAACCCCATTGGGACCCCATTAAACCCCATTGGGACCCCATTAAACCCCATTCCCACCCCATAGAACCCTCTCAGCGCCCCATTAACCCCCATTAGCACCCCATAGAACCCCATAGAACCCCATTGGGACCCCATTAAACCCCCTTGGGACCCCATTAAACCCCATTCCCACCCCATAGAACCCCATTGGGACCCCATTAAACCCCATTGGGACCCCATTAAACCCCATTCCCACCCCATAGAACCCCATTGGGACCCCATTAAACCCCATTGGGACCCCATAGAACCCCATAGAACCCCATTGGGACCCCATTAAACCCCATTGGGACCCCATCAACCCCCATTAGCACCCCATAGAACCCCATAGAACCCTGTTGGGACCCCATTAAACCCCATTGGGACCCCATTAAACCCCATTCCCACCCCATAGAACCCCATTGGGACCCCATTAAACCCCATTGGGACCCCATTAAACCCCATTCCCACCCCATAGAACCCCCTTTCCCCCCATTAAACCCCACTGGGACCCCATTAAACCCCATTGGGACCCCATTAAACCCCTTTGGGACCCCATTAACCCCGATTAGCACCCTATAGAACCCCATAGAACCCCATTGGGACCCCATTAAACCCCATTGGGACCCCATTAAACCCCATTGGGACCCCCTTAAACCCCATTCCCACCCCATAGAACCCCATTGGGACCCCATAAAACCCCATTCCCACCCCATAGAACCCCATTCCCACCCCATAGAACCCCCTTGGGACCCCATTAACCCCCATTAGCACCCCATAGAACCCCATTGTGGTGAGTGGGGGGGTCCCCCTGCCCCATAACCAACCCCTATAGCCCCCATAGAGAGGTTAGGGGGTGTGCCCCACACATCCCTGCCCCATAGGCAGGTCCGGAGCTGGAAGTGAGCTTGGATGGAGCCCCCCCGATGGAAGGGAGCTGGCGTTCGGCTGAGGGGGGGGCGAGGAGCAGTAGGACCTGGGTATTATGGGATGGGAAAGGGGGGGGAATGGGGGTTTAATGGGGTTATAATGGGGTTTAATGGGGGGTAATGGGGTTAGAATGGGGTTTAATGGGGGGTAATGGGGTTTAATGGGGGGTAATGGGGTTTAATGGGGTTAGAATGGGGTTTAATGGGGGGTAATGGGGTTTAATGGGGGGTAATGGGGTTAGAATGGGGGGTAATGGGGTTTAATGGGGGGTAATGGGGTTATAATGGGGTTTAATGGTGTTGTAATGGGGTTTAATGGGGTTCAATGGGGTTTAATGGGGTTTAATGGGGTTGTAATGGGGTTTAATGGGGTTATAATGGGGTTTAATGGGGTTTAATGGGGTTTAATGGGGGGTAATGGGGTTATAATGGGGTTTAATGGTGTTGTAATGGGGGGTAATGGGGTTATAATGGGGTTTAATGGTGTTGTAATGGGGGGTAATGGGGTTATAATGGGGTTCAATGGGGTTATAATGGGGTTTAATGGGGGGTAATGGGGTTATAATGGGGGTAATGGGGCTATAATGGGGGTTAATGGGGTTATAATGGGGGATAATGGGGGATAATGGGGTTTAATGGTGTTGTAATGGGGGGTAATGGGGTTTACTGGGGGATAATGGGGTTATAATGGGGTTGTAATGGGGTTTAATGGGGTTATAATGGGGGATAATGAGGGTAATGGGGTTATAATGGGGTTTAATGGGGGGTAATGGGATTATAATGGGGTTTAATGGTGTTGTAATGGGGGGTAATGGGGTTATAATGGGGTTCAATGGGGTTATAATGGGGTTTAATGGGGGGTAATGGGGTTATAATGGGGGTAATGGGGCTATAATGGGGGTTAATGGGGTTATAATGGGGGATAATGGGGGATAATGGGGTTTAATGGTGTTGTAATGGGGGGTAATGGGGTTTACTGGGGGATAATGGGGTTGTAATGGGGTTTAATGGGGTTATAATGGGGGATAATGAGGGTAATGGGGTTATAATGGGGTTTAATGGGGGGTAATGGGATTATAATGGGGTTTAATGGTGTTGTAATGGGGGGTAATGGGGTTATAATGGGGTTCAATGGGGTTATAATGGGGTTTAATGAGGGGTAATGGGGTTATAATGGGGGTAATGGGGTTTAATGGGGGTTAATGGGGTTATAATGGGGGATAATGGGGTTATAATGGGGTTTAATGGTGTTGTAATGGGGGCTAATGGGGTTTAATGGGGTTTAATGGGGTTAGAATGGGGTTTAATGGGGTTTAATGGGGGGTAATGGGGTTATAATGGGGTTTAATGGTGTTGTGATGGGGTTTAATGGGGGTTAATGGGGTTCTAATGGGGGATAATGGGGTTATAATGGGGTTTAATGGTGTTGTAATGGGGGGTAATGGGGTTTAATGGGGGGTAATGGGGTTTAATGGGGTTTAATGGGGTTTAATGGGGTCCTAATGGGGTTTAATGGGGGGTAAAGGGGTTATAATGGGGTTATAATGGGGGATAATGGGGTTGTAATGGGGTTATAATGGGGTTCCATGGGGTTATAATGGGGGATAATGGGGTTATAATGGGGGATAATGGGGTTATAATGGGGTTTAATGGTGTTGTAATGGGGGGTAATGGGTTTAATGGGGGTTAATGGGGTTTAATGGGGTTAGAATGGGGTTTAATGGGGTTTAGAATGGGGTTTAATGGGGTTAGAATGGGGGTTAATGGGGGGTAATGGGGTTATAATGGGGTTATAATGGGGGATAATGGGGGGTAATGGGGTTTAATGGGGGATAATGGGGTTATAATGGGGTTCATTTGGGTTATCATGGGGTTTAATGGGGTTTAATGGGGTCCCAATGGGGTCCCAATGGGGTTATAATGGGGGATAATGGGGGGTAATGGGTTTTAATGGAGTTTAATGGGGGGTAATGGGGTTTAATGGGGTCCCAATGGGGTTTAGTGGGGGGTAATGTGGTTATAATGGGGCTATAATGGGGTTATAATGGGGTTTAATGGGGTTACAATGGGGGTAATGGGGTTTAATGGGGGAAATTGGAGGTAATGGGGTTATAATGGGGTTTAATGGGGTTGTAATGGGGGATAATGGGGGGTAATGGGGTTATAATGGGGGGTAATGGGGTTTAATGGTGTTGTAATGAGGGGGTAATGGGGTTTACTGGGGGATAATGGGGTTATAATGGGGTTGTAATGGGGTTTTAATGGGGTTTAATGGGGGATAATGGGGGGGAATGGGGTTTAATGGGGTTATAATGGGGATAAAGGGGGGTAATGGGGTTATAATGGGGCTTAATGGGGTTTAATGGGGGGTAATGGGGTTTAATGGTGTTGTAATGAGGGGGTAATGGGGTTTACTGGGGGATAATGGGGTTATAATGGGGTTGTAATGGGGCTTAATGGGGTTATAATGGGGGATAATGGGGTTATAATGGGGGATAATGGGGGTAATGGGGTTTAATGGGGTTATAATGGGGTTTTAATGGGGATAAAGGGGGGTAATTGGGTTATAATAGGGCTTAATGGGGTTGTAATGGGGGTAATGGGGTTTAATGGGGGATAAAGGGGGGTAATGCGGTTATAATGGTGATTAATGGGGTTATAATGGGGGTAATGGGGTTTTAATGGGGTTAAATGGGGGGTAATGGGGTTATAACGGGGTTCAATGGGGTTATAATGGGGTTTAATGGGGGGTAATGGGGTTATAATGGGGGATAGTGGGGGTTAATGGGGGGTAATAGGGTTTAATGGGGGTTAATGGGGTTATAATGGGGGTAATGGGGGTTAATGGGGTTATAATGGGGGTAATGGGGTTATAACGGGGTTCAATGGGGTTATAATGGGGTTTAATGGGGGGTAATGGGGTTATAATGGGGGATAGTGGGGGTTAATGGGGGGTAATAGGGTTTAATGGGGGTTAATGGGGTTATAATGGGGGTAATGGGGGTTAATGGGGTTATAATGGGGGTAATGGGGTTATAATGGGGGTAATGGGGTTTTAATGGGGTTCAATGGGGTTTAATGGGGGATAATGGGGGTTATGGGGTTTAATAGGGGTTTTATGGGGGTTATAAATGGGTATAATGGATTCTAATGGGGGATATCAGGCTTATAACAGGGTTATAATGGGGGATAATGGGGGTTTAATGGGGTTATAATGGGGGTTAATGGGGTTATAATGGGGGTTCATAGGATTTAATGGGCATTAACAGGGTTTTAATGGGGGTTAATGGGGTTTAAAGGGGTTTATTGGGAGCTAATGGGGTTCAATGGGGTTATAATGGGGTTCAATGGGGTTTCAATGGGGTTCAATGTGGTTTCAATGGGGTTTAATGGGGTTATAATGGGGTTCAATGGGGTTCAATGGGGTTATAATGGGGTTCAATGGGTTTCAATGGGGCTTAATCGTGTTTAATGGGGTTCAATGGGGTTCAATGGGGTTTCAATGGGGTTCTATGGGGTTTCAATGGGGTTTAATGGGGTTATAATGGGGTTCAATGGGGTTCAATGGGGTTATAATGGGGTTCAGTGGGGTTCAATGGGGTTATTATGGGGTTCAATGGGGTTCAATGGGGCTTAATGGGGTTTCAATGGGGTTTAATGGGGTTCAGTGGGGTTTAATGGGGTTATAATGGGGTTCAATGGGGTTCAATGGGGTTATAATGGGGTTCAGTGGGTTTCAATGGGGTTTAATGGGTTATAATGGGGTTCAATGGGGCTCAATGGGGGCATCCAAGGGGTCACGTGGCCTCCCCGAGGGGGCGGGGCTTCGGGGGGGGGGCGGGGCTGACCACGTCCTGTCCTCTCATTGGCAGCTCCTGGACCTGCCCCCGGCCCCGCCCACCTCCGCCCTCCACGTCCGGGTCACGTGGGCGCCGGGCCCCGCCTCCGCCGAGCTCACCCTCCAATCAGGTGCGAGGCCACGCCCCCTTCCCCCTTGTCCAATCACGTTAAGCTCCGCCCCCTTTAGGCTCCGCCCCCATCACTTTAAGCTCCACCCCCTACCCCTTCATCCAATCACGTTAAGCCCCGCCCCCTTTACGCTCCGCCCATTCCCCGACTTCGTCCAATCACTTTAAGCTCCGCCCCGTTGAAGCTCCGCCCCCTCCAATCCCGTTAAACCCCGCCCCTTCCCCTCTTCATCCAATCGCTTTAAGCCCCGCCCCTTTAAGCCCCGCCCCATCCCCGTCCTATCGCTTTAAGCCCCACCCCCTTTAAGCTCCGCCCATTCCCCACTTCATCCAATCGCTTTAAACTCCGCCCCTTTAAGCTCCGCCCCTCCCCCCTTCGTCCAATCTCTTTAAGCCCCGCCCCCTTTAAGCGCCGCCCCCTCGTCCAATCGTTTTAAGCCCCGCCCCCTTTAAGCTCCACCCCTTCTCCCTCATCCAATCGCGTTAAGCCCCGCCCCGTTTAAACCCCGCCCCTTCCCCTCTTTGTCCATTCGCTTCAAGCTCCGCCCCCTTTCAGCTCCGCCCCCTTTAAGCTCCGCCCCTTCCCAATCACTATAAGCCCCACCCCCTTTAACCTCCACCCCTTCCCCTCTTTGTCCATTCGCTTCAAGCCCCACCCCTTTAAGCTCCGCCCCATTCCCCCCTCGTCCAATCATTTTAAACCCCGCCCCATTAAGCTCCGCCCCTTCTCGCTGGTCCATTCACTTTAAACCCCACCCCTTACCCTCATCGTCCAATCGCTTTAAGCCCCGCCCCCTTTAAGCCCCGCCCCCTCCCCATTACTTTAAGCCCCGCCCCCTTTAAGCCAGCTCCACCCCTTCTCATCCAATGGCGTTAAGCCCCGCCCCCTTTAAACCCCGCCCCTTCCCCTCTTCGTCCAATCGCTTTACGCTCCGCCCCTTTAAGCTCCGCCCCCTCCTTCCATCCAATCACATAAGCCCCGCCTCCTTTAAGCTCCACCCCGTCCCCCTTCCCATCCAATCACGTTAAGCCCCGCCCCCTTTAAGCTCCGCCCCCTCTGCCCTAGGCGAGAAAGAGGCCTGGTGGCAGCAGCCAATCGCAGCGCGGGAGCTGTTCTGGTAAGCCCCGCCCCCCCTTACAACACCATATAAGGCAAAAAGGGGGCGTGGTTTGAAGAGGCCACGCCCCCCCCTTGTTCATGCCCATATATGGCAGGCCGGAAGTGGGCGTGGCCGAGGCGGGGCTGCTGCAGGAGCAGGCTCAATGGTGCCGGGAGCTGCGGGAGCTGGAGCCCCACAGCAGGGGTGAGGCCTATGGGGCGCCCATAGATCCCTATGGGAGCCCCATTGATCCCTATGGGCGCCCCATAGATCCCTATGGGCGCCCCATAGATCCCTATGGGTGCCCCATTGATCCCTATGGGCGCCCCATTGATCCCTATGGGTGCCCTATAGATCCCTATGGGTGCCCCATTGATCCCTATGGGTGCCCTATAGATCCCTATGGATGCCCCATTGATCCCTATGGGAGCCCCATTGATCCCTATGGGTGCCCCATTGATCCCTATCGGCGCCCCATTGTTCCCTATGGGTGCCCCATAGATCCCTATGGGTGCCCCATTGATTCCTATGGGTGCCCCATAGATCCCTATGGGTGCCCCATTGATCCCTATGGGAGCCCCATTGATCCCTATGGGTGCCCCATTGATCCCTATGGGCGCCCCATAGATCCCTATGGGCGCCCCATTGACCCCTATGGGTGCCCCATTGATCCCTATGGGTGCCCCATTGATCCCTATGGGAGCCCTATAGATCCCTATGGGTGCCCCATTGATTCCTATGGGTGCCCCATTGATCCCTGTGGGTGCCCTGTAGATCCCTATGGGTGCCCCATTGATTCCTATGGGTGCCCCATTGATCCCTATGGGTGCCCCATTGATCCCTATGGGTGCCCCATTGATCCCTATGGGCGCCCCATTGATCCCTATGGGCGCCCCATTGATCCCTATGGGCGCCCCATTGATCCCTATGGGAGCCCCATAGATCCCTGTGGGCGCCCCATTGATCCCTATGGGCGCCCCATTGATCCCTATGGGTGCCCCATTGATCCCTATGGGTGCCCCATTGATCCCTATGGGTGCCCTATAGATCCCTATGGGTGCCCTATAGATCCTTATGGGTGCCCCATTGATCCCTATGGGTGCCCCATAGATCCCTATGGGTGCCCCATTGATTCCTATGGGTGCCCCATTGATTCCTATGGGCGCCCCATAGATCCCTATGGGTGCCCCATTGATCCCTATGGGTGCCCCATTGATCCCTATGGGAGCCCCATTGATCCCTATGGGAGCCCCATTGATCCCTATGGGTGCCCCATTGATCCCTATGGGAGCCCCATTGATCCCTATGGGTGCCCCATAGATCCCTATGGGTGCCCCATTGATCCCTATGGGTGCACCATAGATCCCTATGGGTGCCCCATTGATTCCTATGGGTGCCCCATTGATCCCTATGGGTGCCCCATTGATCCCTATGGAGCCCTATAGATCCCTATGGGTGCCCCATTGATCCCTATGGGTGCCCCATTGATCCCTATGGGTGCCCCATAGATCCCTATGGGAGCCCCATTGATCCCTATGGGCGCCCCATTGATCCCTATGGGTGCCCCATAGATCCCTATGGGTGCCCCATTGATCCCTATGGGTGCCCCATTGATTCCTATGGGTGCCCCATTGATCCCTATGGGAGCCCCATTGATCCCTATGGGCGCCCCATTGATCCCTACGGGAGCCCCATTGATCCCTATGGGCGCCCCATAGATCCCTATGGGAGCCCCATTGATCCCTATGGGAGCCCCATTGATCCCTATGGGCGCCCCATTGATCCCTATGGGAGCCCCATTGATCCCTATGGGCGCCCCATTGATCCCTATGGGTGCCCCATTGATCCCTATGGGTGCCCCGTAGATCCCTATGGGAGCCCCATTGATCCCTATGGGTGCCCCATTGATCCCTATGGGTGCCCCATTGATTCCTATGGGTGCCCCATTGATCCCTATGGGGGCCCCATTGATCCCTATGGGAGCCCCTTTGATCCCTATGGGAGCCCCATTGATCCCTATGGGAGCCCCATAGATCCCTATGGGAGCCCCATTGATCCCTATGGGCGCCCCATAGATCCCTATGGGCGCCCCATTGATCCCTATGGGAGCCCCATTGATCCCTATGGGTGCCCCATTGATCCCTATGGGTGCCCCATTGATTCCTATGGGTGCCCCATTGATCCCTATGGGTGCCCCATAGATCCCTATGGGCGCCCCATTGATTCCTATGGGCGCCCCATAGATCCCTATGGGTGCCCCATAGATCCCTATGGGTGCCCCATTGATTCCCTATGGGTGCCCCATTGATCCCTATGGGCGCCCCATAGATCCCTCTGGGTGCCCCATTGATCCCTATGGGTGCCCCATAGATCCTTATGGGAGCCCCATTGATCCCTATGGGTGCCCCATTGATCCCTATGGGAGCCCCATTGATCCCTATGGGTGCCCCATTGATCCCTATGGGCGCCCCATAGATCCCTATGGGTGCCCCATTGATCCCTATAGGTGCCCCATTGATCCCTATGGGCGCCCCATAGATCCCTATGGGAGCCCCATTGATCCCTATGGGCGCCCCATAGATCCCTATGGGTGCCCCATTGATCCCTATGGGTGCCCCATTGATCCCTATGGGCGCCCCATAGATCCCTATGGGAGCCCCATTGATCCCTATGGGCGCCCCATTGATCCCTACGGGAGCCCCATTGATCCCTATGGGCGCCCCATTGATCCCTACGGGAGCCCCATTGATCCCTATGGGCGCCCCATTGATCCCTATGGGCGCCCCATAGATCCCTATGGGAGCCCCATTGATCCCTATGGGCGCCCCATTGATCCCTATGGGTGCCCCATTGATCCCTATGGGAGCCCCATTGATCCCTATGGGTGCCCCATTGATCCCTATGGGTGCCCCATAGATCCCTATGGGTGCCCCATTGATCCCTATGGGCGCCCCATAGATCCCTATGGGTGCCCCATTGATCCCTATGGGTGACCCATAGATCCTTATGGGAGCCCCATTGATCCCTATGGGCGCCCCATTGATCCCTACGGGAGCCCCATTGACCCCTATGGCGTGCCCCACTTATCCTATGGGGCGCCCCACTGACTCCTATGGCGTGCCCCACTGATCCTATGGGGCTCCCCACTGACCCCTATGGCGCGCCTCACTGACCCCTAAGGGGCGCCCCACTGACCCCTATGGGGTGCCCCACTGATTCTATGGGGCACCCCACTGATCCCTATGGGGCGCCCCCACTGATTCTATGGGGCGCCCCACTGATTGTATGGGGCACCCCACTGATTGTATGGGGCGCCCCACTGATCCTATGGGGCGCCCCACTGATTCTATGGGGCGCCCCACTGATTTTATGGGGCGCCCCAGTGATCCTATGGGGCCCCCCACTGATCCTATGGGGCGCCCCACTGATTCTATGGGGCGCCCCACTGATTCTATGGGGCACCCCACTGATTCTATGGGGCGCCCCACTGATCCTATGGGGCTCCCCACTGACCCCTATGGTGCACCCCACAGATCCTATGGGGCGCCCCTCTGATTCTATGGGGCACCCCACTGATCCTATGGGGCCCCCCACTGATTCTATGGGGCGCCCCACTGATTCTATGGGGCGCCCCACTGTTCCTATGGGGCCCCCCTCTAACCCCTATAGGGCACCCCACTGATTCTATGGGGCTCCCCACTGACCCCTATGGCGCACCCCACTGATCCTATGGGGCGCCCCACTGATCCTATGGGGCACCCCACTGATTCTATGGGGCACCCCACTGATTCTATGGGACACCCCACTGATCCTATGGGGCACCCCACTGATTCTATGGGGCACCCCCACTGATTCTATGGGGTGCCCCACTGGTTCTATGGGGCACCCGACTGATTCTATGGGGCGCCCCACTGATCCTATGGGGCACCCGACTGATTCTATGGGGCACCCCACTGATCCTATGGGGCCCCCCACTGATCCTATGGGGCGCCCCACTGATTCTATGGGGCACCCCACTGATCCTATGGGGCACCCCACTGATCCTATGGGGCGCCCCACTGATTCTATGGGGCCCCCCACTGATCCTATGGGGCACCCCACTGATCCTATGGGGCGCCCCACTGATTCTATGGGGCACCCCACTGATCCTATGGGGCGCCCCACTGATCCTATGGGGCACCCGACTGATTCTATGGGGCACCCCACTGATCCTATGGGGCCCCCCACTGATTCTATGGGGCACCCCACTGATTCTATGGGGCGCCCCACTGATTCTATGGGGCACCCCACTGATCCTATGGGGCACCCGACTGATTCTATGGGGCACCCCACTGATCCTATGGGGCCCCCCACTGATCCTATGGGGTGCCCCACTGATCCTATGGGGCGCCCCACTGATTCTATGGGGCGCCCCACTGATTCTATGGGGCACCCCACTGATTCTATGGGGCACCCCACTGATTCTATGGGGCACCCCACTGATTCTATGGGGTGCCCCACTGGTTCTATGGGGCACCCGACTGATTCTATGGGGCGCCCCACTGATTCTATGGGGCGCCCCACTGATTCTATGGGGCGCCCCACTGATTCTATGGGGCGCCCCATAGGCTGCCTGCTGGCCCTGGCGCTGCTGCTCTGGGCCCTGGAGCCGCTGGAGCATGAGGAGGAGGCGCGGAGCTGCCTGAAGGAGCTGCAGGTGGGACCAGTATGGACCAGTATGGACCAGTATGGACCAGTATGGACCAGTATAGACCAGTATGGACCAGTATGGACCAGTATGGACCAGTATGGACCAGTATGGACCAGTATGGACCAGTATGGACCAGTATAGACCAGTATGGACCAGTATGGACCAGTATAGACCAGTATGGACCAGTATGGACCAGTATGGACCAGTATGGACCAGTATGGACCAGTATAGACCAGTATGGACCAGTATGGACCAGTATAGACCAGTATAGACCAGTATAGACCAGTATGGACCAGTATGGACCAGTATGGACCAGTATAGACCAGTATAGACCAGTATAGACCAGTATGGACCAGTATGGACCAGTATAGACCAGTATGGACCAGTATAGACCAGTATGGACCAGTATGGACCAGTATAGACCAGTATGGACCAGTATAGACCAGTATAAACCAGTATAGACCAGTATAAACCAGTATAAACCAGTATGGACCAGTATGGACCAGTATAGACCAGTATAAACCAGTATGGACCAGTATAGACCAGTATGGACCAGTATAAAACCAGTATGGACCAGTATGGACCAGTATAGACCAGTATAAACCAGTATAGACCAGTACGGACCAGTATGGACTAGTATAGACCAGTATGGACCAGTATAGACCAGTATAAACCAGTATAAACCAGTATGGACCAGTATAGACCAGTATAAACCAGTATGGACCAGTATAGACCAGTATGGACCCGTATAGACCAGTATGGACCAGTATAGACCAGTATAGACCAGTATGGACCAGTATGGACCAGTATGGACCAGTATAGACCAGTATAGACCAGTATGGACCAGTATAGACCAGTATAGACCAGTATGGACCAGTATGGACCAGTATGGACCAGTATAGACCAGTATGGACCAGTATGGACCAGTATGGACCAGTATAGACCAGTATAACCCAGTCCACCCCGGTCCATAGAGCCCTATGGCCCCCATTACCCCCCCCATAGTCTCTAACGGGAGGAGGAGGAGGGGGGGCGTGGCCTGACGTGGCTCCGCCCCCCCCATTGCCCTTATAAGGCAGCGGACCCGCTGAGGCGGGGCTTCGTCAGCGATGCCGCGTCCCGATTGGAGGTGGCGGCGGCGCTGCTGCGCAGGGGGGCGGGGCCTGACGGGGAGCTCCGCCTCCGAGGGAAGGTGGGCGGGGCTTAAGGGGGTGGGAGGGGCTTAAAGGGGGGGAGTGGGAGGGGCTTAAAGGGGTTAAAGGGGACCGGGCTTAAGGCATGGGATGGGGGTGAAGGGGAGGGGCTTAAAGGGGTGGGAGGGGCTTGAAGGGGTGGGAGGGGCTTAAAGGGGTGGGAGGGGCTTGAAGGGGTGGGAGGGGCTTAAAGGGAGAGGGGTTTAAAGGGGGCGGGGCTTAGGTGGGGGGATTTGAAGGGGAGGGGCTTAAAGGGTGGGAGGGGCTTCAAGGGGCGGGGCTTGGGGTGGGAAGGGGTTGAAAGGGGAGGGGCTTGAAGGGGTGGGAGGGGCTTAAAGGGTGGGAGGGGTTTGAAGGGGTGGGAGGGGCTTTAAGGGGCGGGGTTTGGGGTGGGAGGGGCCTAAAGGGAGAGGGGTTAAAGGGGGGTGGGGCTTAGGTGGGGGGGATTTGAAGGGGAGGGGCTTAAAGGGTGGGAGGGGCTTCAAGGGGCGGGGCTTGGGGTGGGAGTGGCTTAAAGGGGGCGGACCTTGGGTGGGAGGGGGTTAAAAGGGGAGGGGCTTGAAGGGGTGGGAGGGGCTTAAAGGGAGTTGGATTTTAAAGGGGCGGGGCTTAGGTGGGAGGGGATTTGAAGGGGAGGGGCTTAAAGGGTGGGAGGGGCTTAGATGGGGAGTGGCTTAGAGGGGAGGGGCTTGGGGTGGGAGGGGCTTAAAGGGGGCGGTGCTTAATGCATGGATAGAGCTTAAGGTGGGCGGGGCTTAAAGGGTGGGAGGGGCTTAAATGGGGCGGAGCTTGAGGTGGGGGCTTAAAGGGGGCGGGGCTTAGTGTATGAATGGAGCTTTAAGGGGCGGAGCTTGGGGTGGGAGGGGCTTAAAGGGGGCAGGGCTTAATGCATGGGTAGAGCTTAAATGGGGCGGAGCTTGGGGTGGGCGGGGCTTAGAGGTGGGAGGGGCTTAAAGGGGGCGGTGCTTAATGCATGGAGAGAGCTTTAAGGGGCGGAGCTTGGGGTGGGAGGGGCTTAAAGGGTGGGAGGGGCTTAAATGGGGCGGAGCTTGGGGTGGGAGGGGCTTAAAGGGGGCGGGGCTCAATGCGTGGATAGAGCTTAAAGGGGCGGAGCTTGGGGTGGGCTGGGCTTAGAGGTGGGAGGGGCTTAAAGGGGGCGGTGCTTAATGCATGGAGAGAGCTTAAAGGGGCGGAGCTTGGGGTGGGAGGGGCTTAAAGGGGGCAGGGCTTAATGCATGGATAGAGCTTAAAGGGGGCGGAGCTTGGGGTGGGCGGGGCTTAGAGATGGGAGGGGCTTAAAGGGGGTGGGGCTTAATGCATGGGTAGAGCTTAAAGGGGCGGAGCTTGGGGTTGGGAGGGGCCTAAAGGGGCGGGGCTTAGTGTATGGGAGGGGCTTATGGGGTGGGAGGGCTTAAAGGGGCGGAGCTTGGGGTGGGAGGGGCTTTAAAAGAGGGGGTGAAGGGGATAAAGAGGCGGGGGGGGGGGGGCGTGGCTTGAGTTGGCTCCGCCCCCTGCAGGCGCTGACGTCACTTCCGCTGCTGGAGCACCTGACCCTGGTGCCCCACCTGGACCTGGCCCACAACGGCCTCGGGGGGCTCCCGGCAGCCATGGGGGCCCTGCGGCGCCTCAAGGTGGGGATCTATGGGGTGCTATGGGGTGGCTATGGGGGTCTATGGGGCTCTATAGAGGTCTAGGGGGGGGTCTATGGGGTGCTATGCGGTGGCTATGGGGGTCTATGGGGCTCTATAGGGGTCTATGGGGCGCTATGGGGGGATATGGGGTGTCTATGGGGCGCTATGGGGTGGCTATGGGGGTCTATGGGGCTCTATAGGGGTCTATGGGGTGTCTATGGGGGGATATGGGGTGGCTATGGGGGGTCTATGGGGCGCTATGGGGGGATATGGGGTGGCTATGGGGTTCTATAGGGGTCTATGGGGTGGCTATGGGGTGCTATGGGGGGTCTATGGAGGGATATAGGGTGGCTATGGGGCTCTATGGGGCACTATGGGGTGGCTGTGGGGTGCTATGGGGGGCCTATTGGGGGGATATGGGGTGGCTATGGGGCACTATGGGGGTCTATGGGGTGTCCATGGGTTGGCTATGGGGGGCTATGGGGCGCTATGGGGGGATATGGGGTGGCTATGGGGCACTATGGAGCTCTATGGGGTGGCTGTGGGGTGCTATGGAGGTCTATGGGGTGCCTATAGAGTGGCTATGGGGGGCTATGGGGCTCTGGGGCTCTATGGGGTGGCTGTGGGGTGCTATGGGGTGTCTATGGGGGTATATTGGGGGATATGGGGGGTTATAGGGCTCTATAGGGGTCTATGGGGTGCTATGGGGTGGCTATGGGGGGTCTGGAGGGGATATGGGGTGGCTATGGGGGGTCTGTGGGGCGCTATGGGGGGATATGGGGGGATATGGCGTGTCTATGGGGGTATATGGGGGTTCTATGGGGCTCTATGGGGCGCTGTGGGGTGGCTGTGGGGTGCTATGGGGTGTCTGTGGGGGGATATGGGGTGTCTATGGGGCGCTATAGGGGTCTATGGGGTGTCTATGGGGGGCTCCCGGTATCCATGGGGGCCCTGCAGCACCTCAAGGTGGGGCGCTATGGGGCGATATGGGGGTCTATAGGGTGTCTATGGGGGGGATATGGGGTGGCTATGGGGCACTATGGGGGTCTATGGGGAGGCTATAGGGTGGCTATGGGGGTCTATGGGGTGCTATGGGGGGTCTGTGGGGGCTCTACAGGGGTCTATGGGAGGGATATTAGGCTCTATGGAGGTCTGTGGGGTGTCTATGGGGGGCTATGGGGCGCTATGGGGTGCTATGGCATGGCTGTGGGGTGCTGTGGGGGGTCTATGGGGTGGCTATGGGGCACTATGGGGGTCTATGGGGCGCTCTGGGGTGTCTATGGGGGGTCTATGGGGCGATATGGGGGTCTATGGGGGGGGATATGGGGGGGGATATGGGGGGCTCCCAGCATCCATGGGGACCCTGTGGCGCCTCAAGGTGGGGATCTGTGGGGCGCTATGGGGGGATATGGGGATCTATGGGGTGTCTATGGGGGTCTTTGGGGGTCTATGGGGGGGCTGTGTGGTGTCTATGGGGATCTATAGGGATCTATGGGGGGGTCTATGGGACTCTATGGGGGGCTATGGGGGGATATGGGGGCTCTATGGGGGTGCTATGGGGAGTCTGTGAGGGGCTATGGGGCTCTATGGGGTCTCTCTGGGGGTCTGTGGGGAGCTATGGGCTCTCTATGGGTCTCTGTGGGGTTTCTATGGGGGTCTATGGGGTCTCTATGGGGTTTCTATGGGGTCTCTGTGGGTCCCTATGGGTCTCTATGGGGTCTCTATGGGTCTCTATGGGGTCTCTATGGGGTCTCTATGAGGTCCCTATGAGTCCCTATGGATCCCCATGGGTCTCTATGGGTCCCTATGGGTCTCTATGGGTCTCTATGGGTCTCTATGGGTCTCTATGGGTCTCTATGTCTCTCTATGTGTCCCTATGGGTCCCTATGGGTCTCTATGGGTCCCTATGGGTCTCTCTCTATGGGTCCCTATGGGTCCCTATGGGTCTCTATGGGTCTCTATGGGGTCTCTATGAGTCCCCATGGGTCTCTATGGATCCCTATGGGTCTCTATGGCTCTCAATGTGTCTCTATGGGTCCCTATGGGTCCCTATGGGTCTCTATGTGTCCCTATGGATCCCTATGGGTCTCTATGGGTCCCTATGGGTCTCTATGTGTCCCTATGGATCCCTATGGGTCTCTATGGGTCCCTGGCCCCATTGCAGGTGCTGGACCTGGCCCACAACCGGCTCCGGAGCCTTCAGGGCTTCCCCCCCTGCCTTGGCTGGAGGAGCTGGGGCTGGAGGGGAACCGTAGGTTATGGGGCAGCTATGGGGTGGTTATGGGGCGCTATGGGGGGGCTATGGGGCGCTATGGGGGGGCTATGGGGTGGTTATGGGGTGGTTATGGGTCGCTATGGGGTGACTATGGGGTGCTATGGGGCGGATATGGGGCGCTATGAGGTGGCTATGGGGCGCTATGGGGTGGTTATGGGGTGCTATGGGGCGCTATGGGGGAGCGGATATGGGGCGCTATGGGGTGGTTATGGGGCGCTATGGGGCGCTATGGGGTGCTAAGGGGTGGATATGAGGCACTATGGGATGGTTATGGGGCGCTATGGGGGGGCTAGGGGGCGCTCTGGGGTGGTTATGGGGCGCTATGGGGTGGTTATGGGGTGCTATGTGGTGTTATGGGGCGCTCTGGGGCGGATATGGGGCGCTATGGGGGGGCTAGGGGGCGCTATGGGGTGATATGGGGCGGATATGGGGCGCTATGTGGTGCTATGGGGCGCTATGGGGGGGCTAGGGGGCGCTATGGGGCGCTATGGGGGGGCGGATATGGGGCGCTATGGGGTGGTTATGGGGCGCTATGGGGCGCTATGGGGTGCTAGGGGGCGGATATGAGGCACTATGGGATGGTTATGGGGCGCTATGGGGGGGCTAGGGGGCGCTATGGGGTGGTTATGGGGTGCTATGTGGTGTTATGGGGCGCTCTGGGGCAGATATGGGGCGCTATGGGGGGGCTAGGGGGCGCTATGGGGTGGCTATGGGGCGCTATGGGGTGGTTATAGGGCGCTATGTGGTGTTATGGGGTGCTATGGGGCGGATATGGGGCGCTATGTGGTGCTATGGGGCACTATGGGGGCTCTATGAGGCAGCTATGGGGCTCTATGGGGCGCTATGGGGTTATAATGGGCTTTAATGGGGTTCCAATGGCCCTCAATGGCGCCCTCCGAAGGGGGCGTGTCCTTTCCCCGCTGACCCCGCCCCTTTACCCCCCCCCCCCCCCCAGCCCTCGGCCACGCCTCCGCCCTCTCGCCATTGGCCGCCTGCCCGCGCCTCGCTCGCCTCCGATTGGCCGGCACCCCGCTCGCCTCCGCCCCCGGCGCCGCCCACCACGTGGGGCTCCTCCTGCCCGCCGTTGACGTCAGCTGGGGCTGAGCTTGGCCACGCCCCCTCCACCCTTTGGCCACGCCCCCTCCCCTTGTCTTAAAGGGGCCGCAGCGAATTAAAGTGGTGGCCAATGGGGCCCAATGCATCTCAATGGGGCTCAATGGGGTTCAATGGGGCTCTATGGGGCTCAATGGGGCTCAATGGGTCTCTATGGGTCTCAATGGGGCCCGATGCATCTCAATGGGGCCCAGTGCATCTCAATGGGGCTCAATGGGTCGCAATGGGGCTCAATGGGTCGCAATGGGGCTCAATGGGTCGCAATGGGGCTCAATGGGTCCATATGGGTCCCTATGGGTCTCAGTGGGTCGCAATGGGGCTCAGTGGGTCGCAATGGGGCCCAGTGAAGCTCAGTGGGTTGCAATGGGGCTCAATGGGTCTCTATGGGGCTCAATGGGGTTTAATGCATCTCAATGGGTCGCAATGGGGCTCAGTGGGTCGCAATGGGGCTCAATGGGGCTCAATGGGTTGCAATGGGTCGCAGTGGGGCTCAATGGGTCGCAATGGGGCTCAATGGGTTGCAATGGGGCTCAGTGGGGCTCAGTGGGTCGCAATGGGGCCCAATGCATCTCAGTGGGGTTCAATGGGTCTCAATGGGTCTCTATGGGTCTCAGTGGGTCTCAATGGGTCGCAATGGGTCTCAGTGGGTCGCAATGGGTCTCAGTGGGTCGCAATGAGGCTCAATGGGGCTCAATGGGTCCCTATGGGTCTCAGTGGGTCCCAATGGGTCCACATGGGTCTGAGTGGGTCCAAATGGGTCTCAGTGGGTCGCAATGGGGCTCAATGGGGCTCAATGGGTCCCTATGGGTCTCAGTGGGTCCCAATGGGTCCAAATGGGTCTCAATGGGTCTCAATGGGGTTCAATGGGGCTCAATGGGTCCCAGTGCGTCCCAATGGATCCCAGTTCATCCCAGTGCTCCCAGTTCCCATTCATCCCAATGGATCCCATTCATCCCAATGGATCCCAGTGCTCCCAGTTCCCATTCATCCCAATGGATCCCATTCATCCCAATGGATCCCAGTGCTCCCAGTTCCCATTCATCCCAATGGGTCCCATTCATCCCAATGGGTCCCATTCATCCCAATGGATCCCAGTGCATCCCAGTGCTCCCAGTTCCCATTCATCCCAATGGATCCCATTCATCCCAATGGATCCCAGTTCATCCCAGTGCTCCCAGTTCCCATTCATCCCAATGGGTCCCATTCATCCAATGGATCCCAGTTCATCCCAGTGCTCCCAGTTCCCATTCATCCCAATGGATCCCATTCATCCCAATGGATCCCAGTGCTCCCAGTTCCCATTCATCCCAATGGATCCCATTCATCCCAATGGATCCCATTCATCCCAATGGATCCCAGTTCATCCCAGTGCTCCCAGTTCCCATTCATCCCAATGGGTCCCATTCATCCCAATGGATCCCAGTTCATCCCAGTGCTCCCAGTTCATCCCATTCCCCCCTCCCCTTCCCTCTTGCATCATCCGGACGCATCCATTTCAACACCGTGGGGCGGGACCTATGGGGCTGGATTGCGCCATCTGCCCCACTGCCAAATAGTGAGCCATTGCCCGCAATGGGGCTCGCCCCGCCGTGCCCTCCCTTGCCAAATAGTGAGCCATAGCCCGCAATGGGGCTCGCCCCGCCGTGCCCTCCCTTGCCAAATAGTGAGCCATTGC